TGCGTAATGGAATTTGTTCTTTTAGAAAATTGACTCATATGCAATGGGAGTATTTGAAAAAATAATTTCATAATGGACATGCTAAAATAAAATAATGAATATTAATTTCCTAAAATAAAATAATGAATATTAATTTCCTAAAATAAAATAATGAATATTAATTTCCTAAAATACAATGGGAGTATTTGGAAATAGGAAACGAGGGCTTTTGATATGAATACCGATTCTACCCTTTTTTCTTAAATAAAATGAATATTAATTATTTTTAATTTTTAATTTCCTAAAATAAAATAATATAATCTAGGCCATTGATCAAGAAAATGGACGGATGAGATTGGTTTACACGGTTTACACAAATGAGTCAAGTTTTCATTTGAACGCTCCTCTCTCTCTCTCTCTATATATATATGTATATATATATATATATATATATATATATGAAGTAGGAGGTAGAACAAGATTCTGAAAATGAGTTTGGCAGGAGTCTAATGAATATCGAAAGATTTGGGTTTAAAATCGGGAGATTGGCAGACTTTTTCGTATGGTGGCGTTTGTTTTCTAAGAGATGCTGAAGGCTGAAGTCTGATTTCACTTCTGATTTATAAGAGGTGGTGCTGAGATCTGAATCAGTCAAACTGTTCGTTTTTACGTCTAAAGTCTGAAATATGAATCAGTCAGATTATTTGTTTTTGTAAACTAACAAACGTCTGAAGTCTGAATCAATTAGACCGTTTTTGTAAACTGATAAGCGTTTGAAGTCTTAAATCTGAATCAATTTATTTTAATTAAATTCAACTGAAATATCCAATTATTTAAACCATTTGTAAACTACAATCTATTTTTAACACATTCAAAAATTCAGCTGAAATTCGTCAATTGATTCAACACATAATAGAAAACACGTACAAAGTCTCATAACAACTAGAATCAATATTCATTTTGCATTAATTATATCGCAATTTCTTTCCTTGAAGTATTCATATATGTTTGGTCAGCGACACTCCATGCGATTGAACCTCTTCAGACTTCAACACTTTTTGTAATCAGAAGTGAAATCAGACTTCAACAACTCTTAAAAAACAAACGTCATTTTATGGAAGGTTTATCAAATGCTACTTGGTAAGTGCTTAACGGGTCAATTACCTTACCAGATAACTGAGTAACATACTCAGTAAAAGCAATAACAAAAACCAAGAGTCTTACTCGGTATAAATGAGGATGACAGACTCTTACATGGTAAACGTATACCAAAAAAATTAATATATATGATATCATTTTGATGGACTAAAATCTTAACCATTAAAACAACAAAACTATTGACATTTACTAAGTACCGCTATTTATGGGTTAAAAAGCCCTTATTTCAGTTATAAAAACTACGATTATTTTACTTCAAAAAAGAAAACGATTATTTATTTGCATTTAACCGAACAAATTCAACTTTTGGGGGTGGACACAAAAACCGATCTCGGCCAATACTTTTCACATTTCCTTTCGAAGCTAAAGAGAAATCAAGCTTTTCCAGTTGCTCCACAGTCGTGAAGAGCAGAGAATCGCAAAGAGAAAGAGCAAAAGATCATCATCGGTGGACCGTGAATTCTTCATACATCGATAAGATTTATCTAAAATATCTTGTTAAATCTATATTTCCTCCATTATAAATGAATGATTTACAGTTGATTAATTTGTTGTTCGTCAATGTTATACGCCACCTCGTTTGAAGTAATTAATTAGTTCATCTTGCTTGTCGATTTGGTGCAGAATCGTTTGTCTAATACGATGGCAAGAGCGTTATCGAACATGCTATTCAAAGGATTTAGGTCAATTGAATCTACTCGCATAGCTGCATCGGTATGTTGTAATAGTGTTTCGTTGAAATTCAGCTCCTTCCTCTTTTTGGTTTATAGTTTCCGTCTGAATTTCGCTTCAGAACTGATAAGAAGGAGTTTGGCTCTGGCGACAATTGATTGCTAAAAGTACAATTATTGTAGAAACATTTTTGCAGATAAAAACCGAAAGCATCTATGTCATTTTGAATCTGGTGATATCTAGGTTTGCTTGAATTAGCCAACTGAGTAGTAGATTTCTCTGTCTAGATACGGCTAGGAACATAGAGGTCCAATAATTTGTCGATTTACATTTGGATTACTCAAGTAGGTGATATATCTACAACACTGTTCTGGATTGTTGTTCTTCAACCTAGAAACGGGTAAAATGTGAAATATTGACATTGAAATCTTGCTTTGGCTGTCCTAAGCAGGTTATAGGAGCTATGTTTTTTTACAGTGATTTGAAATAGCAGGTGGTAAAGCGGCAGTATAGCGGTTCATATAAATATTTAGAATTATATACATAGTATATATCATAAAATATAAATAGCTTTACATATCATGTGTAATCAATATGAAAAAGAAATCTGCTAATAGACTAATAGTCCCAAAAAAAGAAATTCACTAATAGACTTATAATGATGGTGGAAGAATTTAGGAAACCTGGTTGAATGCTTGATGATGTTGAAAATCTAAATCTTATAATCTCAGTAAAGATAACAGGATGGATTAAATGACTTATATAAAAAAAACAAATGCAAAATAAAATGCCAAATCATTTAAATAAGTCCTATATAAGCTGGTTAGACAAAATAAAAAAGCCCAACCACAAATAGTGGTTATGCGGAGCTATTTTGTGCAAAAAGCGGCCATTTGGCGGTAAATCACACCGCAATTCTCGGTACCGCTATTTAGGACCGCCTGCAATTCCTTCCAGGACCGCAAACCTCTATTGCACCACTATTAACAGCATAGCTTAAGTATAAGGAGCTTGATCATGATTTGCAGGAATGGAAATCTGTTTAACATGTCACCTAATTGGATGATCAGCTTTAGGGTAACGGGGCATCCTCCTCTAAAAGTTAATCCTATGCATCCACTAGTTTGATATGATAGATGTTTTAGAAGTTAAATGTACTTAGTTTGATCTCCATGCTTCAGCTCACTCATAATTTGATAATAGGACACTGCATCTGGAAGAGCAAATACGTTTAAAGAAGTCCACTCCTGAATTTGCTAATCCAAGCAAACGTAGATATTACCAAATTCAAAATTGACATAGATGTTTTCAGTTTTATCTGCAAATCTGTTTCTATAAGACACATATTTGCCAGAGCCAAAATACTTATCGGTGCTGAAGGGATCCAGACGAGAGAGTTTGAACCAAAAGTAAATTTACTTTTAGCCAACCCACCATGCTTCCGCTCACTAATAATTGGATAGGGACGCTGCATTTGGAAGACCAAATATCGTTCATTTGATGCAGCCTTTTGTTATCTAATTGCATATTTCATTGTTGGCCATTCTTAATAGTTAATTAGACCTTAATAGTTAATTAGACGGTAACAGTTAGTCAGTCACTATAGGGGTTGCTTTTATTCGAGTGTATTGATGCTTGATACCAATTTTGTATGTTCTCCCATAAACTCTATGCAACTTGTTAGGCCTCTGGACCGTTCTTGCGGCACGGAATGCAGTTTTCAACTAGTGTGCCCAATGATCCTGATACACATGATGATTTTAAGCCCACAAATAAGCTTGAGAATTCTGGAATTACTTTAAAGGATATCGTTGAGCAGGTTAGTGGTTATTGATATGTGTATCCTGAACCTCTTTCTAGTAATATGTTCTGTTTTGAGGTAATGACCACATCTGTTAATTGCAATGTTTAGGATGTCAAGGATAACCATGTGATGATTTACATGAAAGGGGATCCAGAGCAACCACGGTGTGGATTCAGCTCATTAGCTGTCGGAGTGTTGAGTGAATATCGTAAGTACTCAAATCAGCACTTCTTGTTTGAAGATTTTTTCAACATAAAATTGTTATTTCTAACAATTTTTCTTTATCAACTTAAACGATTTTCTGATTAAAGTGATTCGCATAGAATATAGATACAACTCTTCATTCTTGGTACTCTACCTTACTTTAGATTCTTATTCCTAGATATGGAGAAACATAGCTATCAGTGGCGGACCTAGGATGTTTGTTTAGCAGGTGCACCTTTAAGGTGGATTAAAAGACCGCAAAGTTGTTCAATGCTTTTTAGCCTAAAATACCCCTTACTTAACATGTGCTTCTAACAGCCGCTAGAGAGAGGGACCAAATCACGTCGTTTTTGCATACTACAATGGTGATCTTGTAATTTTGAAATTGTAGGGACCAAAAGTGTTGCAAACAGCAAGGACCAAGTTTGTAGTTTACTCTATTTTCTAATATCCTAGAGCACCCCTTAAAGTTTAGCGGGTGCACCTTTTATACCCAAAAAACTGTACTTGCAAAAATTGGTTGAGCGGGTGCACATGACCCCGCTCAGGCTTTCATAGGTCCGTCCTTGATAGCTATATCAGTATTGCATAAAAAGCTGGAAGGTAGTATCAGCCAGAATTTGGCCTGTTGCAGTTCCATGGACCAAATGGAGGTTTTTGGTCGTACAAAGTTGGTGACCACCTTCCAACAAAAGCCCAGCAGTTTGGCAGTCGGATTGTCTTGGTTTCACGTAGGTAGCTTGGGCCCGTTTCTGGATCGAACCTTATGTATCGTAAAATTGCATAGAAGGTAACAACCATGCACCAACGTCACTATTACTATGTATGCCCACACAAGCAAGATTGGATGTGGGTTGATAGTTGAAAGGGGATCACTTGAAAGCATTAGACAGGAACAACCTGATAAATACACCATTTTTATGGAAACAAACAATGAAACATCCTTCGTACAAGTTCTAGAAGCATATTTAAATGTTGTCCATGGCCATTATGATATTTGCGGTTTCGTGGAGATATATTAGTCAATATTTGAAAAGGAAAGGGTAAATATGGAAATGTGAAGACGTAGGAGGTCGTTAAGGGTGCGTTTGATACATCCGACAGGACAGAATATAATAGGGATCACTGTTCTACGTTTGGTAGGACTTTTATATGGAATAGAGCGGAACATGCGTGTTCCACCTCCATCCCATGGAACAAGGTGGAACAGACCACTATTTTGCCAATATAACCTTTAAATAAAACTTAATTCTCTTCTAAAACATCAAATATACCTTCCTTTCACATTCTGTTTATTCTTTAAGTTTTATTTATCCTATTTTATGCTTTTTAAACTTTCATACTGTCCTTAAAATATTAATTTTATACAGTTTCTATATTTTGGTTAATTTATTATAATTTAATAAATTATATAAATTAATCAGAATATATAAACAACCCATTAGGGATAAATTGGTCGTTTTGTCTGTTATGTCCTGTCTACTTTTGTCTTATCAATAGTTGAACAGTTGTTTTGTCTTGTTCTGTCCTAATTTGTCTGTATACCAAACGCACGCTAACTGTTGCATGTTGTTGAGCATATATGAGGATTATTTGGCTCTCTTCCTTTGGATTTACAATTACATTATCCTTTCTCCTGCTGCTTTTTTCCATTTGGATTCTCAAGTATTGCTATGGATTTATTGCAGGAGTTCCTATACATTCTAAAAACATATTAGAAGATCCTGAGCTTAAGAATGCTGTAAAAGCTTTCAGGTAACAAGCACTTTTCTTGCAGTTCGGTTGCTTACCATGAAAGCCTGTTGTTATGGGTACCACAAAACATACCATGAAAGCCTGTTGTTATGGGTACCACAAAACATACCCGCATTGTGACCGAACGGTTTGGGCCTTAGAGTATTTTCAGGAGATTCTCTCTAAAAAAGAATTACATTTAACTCTTAACATATTCTCTATTTTAGAGAATTTCAACATCAACTTTATCATTAAAATATTATATAGACTTGGGATCATGTGAGATAACGTTGTTTCCATGAGACACGATTTTTACACTTGAAATTTCAACAGTGTTTTTGCTGTTGTGAAGATTTGGCTTTTTTTACCTTCACAACATTTTGTTGTGAAGTTTCAAGTGTAAAAATCGTATCTCACTAAAACAGCCTTGTCTCACGTGAACCCAACCCATATTATATAATTTTATCATCCCACTACATTTAAAAAAAAACTTGATAAATCAATCTCATTGGTTAGAACTTTTAAAATGGTATTTCTCTCTCCTTAGTAGAGAGTTTTAGCGAATTCTCTATGTTTGGAATTTTCTCTATTTTAAGGAACAAGATAGAAAACAAAAACTTCATTTTCTCTATTTTAGAGCATATGTTGGAGATGCTTGTAGTATCTTAAGTCTAACATGGAAATTTAGGAATCATCTTTATATTATTATTAACAAAGGAAATGCATAAAAATGTGACGAGGCTTGCCTTAATTTTTTTTTCCCTCATATTAATGTAACAAAGTTTCAATTTTTTTTTTCCACTCATTTTGACCGGTAACGTGCTAATTTTGTAAATTTTGATGACGTGGATGTCAAGTTTATCGTCTATATCAGTGTAACCCTTTTGTAGACATCACTTAAACCTTTCTTAAACAAAGTATTTGGGCAAAAAGTTGATTACCGATAACTTCAACCGGCCCTACATGGAACCCGCCTCAAAGAACACCAATGTGGGAGCATTTTTTTGCTTGTCATTATTATGTGTTTTTCTTCATTTTATTTGCATTCTTTCTTGGAATTCCATTGATGCACTTGGTTTTCTTCATTACGTTTGATTGTGGCCTTGTGGGTATGCAAGTATGTTGATCTTGATGGGTTATGACAACTACATAGCTGGGGTAAAATGGTCATATGCTTTATTCCGCACAAAAAACAACCGTTTTTCCGAAATCCATAAAAAGGGCCGAATGAAAAACCAAACAAAAAACATCTTAGCCATACTGAAAATACTTCTCCATTTCCCTTTTTGCCCCGTATAATTTTCAGAGTAAATTATGATTTTCGTCCATGTGGTCTAGAAATTGCGGTTTTCGTCCTAATGGTTTGTAATTCATTGCGGTTTTCGTTTTCTGAGTTACAACTTATTGTTGTTTTGATCTGGATGGTTGGTTTACAATTCTTTACTGTTTTGGTGGCTCCTACTTTAAGGTAGGAATCGGACCATGGACAAAAATAGCAATAAATTGTAAACCATGATTGAGGGTTAAATTCTGATTAGATATAACATGGGCCACATACTATTTGTGTGCAGCACGTGGCCGACATTTCCGCAGATATTCATCAATGGAGAATTCATCGGAGGATCAGACATTATCCTGAACATGCATCAGGCTAGCTTCTCTGCATATTTAAAGCCTTATATCATGTTTTGTTTTTTATGGTGTCAAAAAGCATAAATACAACATATTTGGGCTTTGTGCAGAATGGTGAACTGAAGGAGAAACTGAAGCCGACTTCCAAGTAATTGTTATAATAACTTCATTTTAAAGCGACGTCGTCGTTTTTTACGTGAGCGAAGACAAAATAATGTTACGTAACTATGAATGTGATTGGTCTAGCGGTTAGGTGGAAAAGAGGAACCTAATAATTGGTGTTTCTTTTGCTTTCCCTTATTGATTTTCTATTTTCTAAACAATAAAAATCAAAGTTTCAGAGTTTTTTTTAAAAATTCATATCACTTTGCGATATAACGAAATCCACAACTAAATTATTTTAAATATAATTAATTTTTTAATTAAACAAATTATATTACAAAACAAGTATTTTATTTCTTTTAATTTGACACCCATTGACGTTCAATTTTCTAAACCTGGTTTTTTAAAATTCAAAAATACTTTTACCATATTATACAATATTTTTGCATACCCTACAAATTATTAATACATTTGATTAGCGTCAAACTAATTCATAATCAGCTTATAAACATATGCAAATACAAGATAAAGGTTTTGCTTATTAATAGGGCAAAATACTTCATAAAATTGGAAACCAACATTGGCTTTATCACAATCAAAATCATACAAATTCATAAAATAAAATCAAAAGACGAATTAAAGATGCATAATGATGTTAATGAAATGTGCCAAAGTAATATATAATATTTTACTTATTTGATTATGAACATTAAAAAGTCGATGATCTTCTAAAACTCGTATAACTTGGTCCAAAAACGTAACTGGTATGACCAATAGATCCCAACCTGTCCAACCTTAAAAAGCCCTTAACCGGTCCCAAACATCCATCGTGGAGGTAAAATTTCCATGTGAACCGGATACATTAGAACCTAACCACCAAAACTGGCCTCAATCTCAGCACAAAGCTCCTCAACCCCTCAAGGTCCACATTCCTCTTTGGTCAGAGCTTCCCATGAAAAGTGTTGCTGTCTATGTATGTATGTTGAGTGATGAAATAGAAATAGAATCCCAAATTCATATTTCGCTCGATTACCAAACGCTTAACGCAAAGAGACATCACACCTCATTAACGTTCTTGATCATCAAAATGGATTCATTGGTAATCGTCTTAAACCTGATAAGCGCTTACCAGGTAAAAATTATCCTCCTCACTTACCGGATAAGACTCTTGATCCTTGTCTTACCTCTTACCGGGTAGAATTCTCAGTCCTTGTTGTGTTCAACCAGTAAGGTAATTGAAGTGTTAGTAAACGACCCCTTAGTTGGTATGAATAATATATTTGAAAGGTGTTCATAGCACGTTCCAATCTTCTTTACCTACATGCTCCACTCCATTGTCAATGAAACAATCTCCTTTGGTCTTATCTAAAAAGCTGCTTACCAAACACTTACCTAGTTACCTAGTAAGCGATTAGCGGTTACTAGATCACTTACCATACCGGATGAACATGGCAAGAACCAAGAGTCTTACCCGGTGATTATTGCATACAAATACAATGCCGTTTTGAATTTTGACAAGAAACTTATCCTATAAAGTAAGCGAGTATTTAACGGATAAGCGTTGGAAAATCAAAAAAGGTAACGTTGCCAACCACTTTGAAATACCGTTTCTTTGCATTAGAAGCAAAAAAAATAAAAAATAAATAAATAATCTTTCGACAACTTTATAAGACCGTTGGATGGACATTTAAGCAACCACAACTCTTCGAAAAGCTCGTGTTGGGGTCGAACTGAAGAATCTCGAAGAGCCTAAACCTGGAGCCAATAATTATTTTGATGCATTGGAGAAATGGCATCCACAATTCAAATAAACGGCATGCCCCACAATCCCATAATTCACAAAGAAAGAAGAAATGTATGCATGATGCATGCCTCTGATAATGATTTAGCCAAAACAAACAGTAAATATGAAACAAACAAAATGCAGGACCTGTTAAATCCTGATGCTGCAGAATTTTGGAAGTCTTTATGTCATCTCACCAGATTCTTATTCCGGCATATTAAAGATGGAAAAAATGCAAATCAGTGATGATGTTCGTCATCGCCATGTCCGTCTGAAGGTCCTCCTGGGCCCACTACTTCCAACTGTAAAACATGATCATACATTTATCAACATCACACGAAATTTCAGTTGAAGAAGTTTTTATGGAGTTCAATGTAAATATCAACTTTTCTTGCACCAATTTCAAAATTGACAACAAATTTAAAGTTGAAAAGGAACCCATTTGATACAAGAAGTCAAAACGGAATATGAAAGATTGATTGGAACGGAAAAAAAATCCCTTTGGGTAGTCGCTCGCTGGATGGAGGGCCCAAAGTTAGTGAAGGGAGAACTTTGCATAGACCCTATGGACTAGTTGGACCAAATGTGCCGAATACCATGGTCAATTAAAAAACCCCATTCCAGATCTACTGTGTCGATGAATCCTCATTTATAACTAAGGGAACACAGGAGTTTTAATATCTGAAAGATGACAGGGATTAAGAACATAACATGTTTAAATTTAAAAATGGATAGGAACTGAACCAATAAATATGATTGACTGGTTTTAATTACTGCAGGTTTGTTCTGGCAAACACGGATATAAACTCAACGAACTCAGAACTTTTGATGGTTAAAGATGAGATGCATAAAAAACACAATGCATATGATATGCATAGGATGATGATAAAAGTTGATCTATATGACACCGTTTTCAGAAAGAAATAATTGTCTGAAAGGTTAAGTTTGTACTCACCACGAAATATTGTGAGCATACTGGGCATTCATGTGGTTCCCCTTTCTTTAGCCAAAACCAAACAACATCATGCTCGTCCTCTGTTATGAAGGAAAAAACATAAAAAATGATTAACAAGCTACTAGATACTCAAACAGCAATATAAGCTATAAAGGGTACAAAAGTATACTGTTCATTATTACAGTGGAAAGGCTAGAGTTTACTCACCGCCTTCTCCCCCAGGGCAACCGACAATTCTTTGGTCATAGTAAGATTTGACCACAGCAGGAGCTTCCTACAAGCAACAAAACGACAAATGATACACAGCTTCAGCATCAGTTCAGATATCAAAGCACAAACAATGACCCGAGCACAAGAAAAAGTAAGTGTGACTCGCAACAAGGCCTACTCATTTACTGAATAAATCTCTAAATAAGAGGACTTATCAGTTCCAAAATAAGGCACACCCACAACAACGAACTACGTTCATGATTCTCACCCTAATGGCCGTAAGGTCAAGTAGCAAATCAAAGTATCAAGCAACAACAGAAATAGAACATACGACATCAGCAGTTCAAGTTGGTAATGCAGAATTTCGATATAATTATCTGCAATATTGGTTGCAGGATACCAATATGTAGAGTTTTAGCAGTCTCAACGATGTATGGCAATACATGACACATTATCATACATGTCATATCCATTAGCCAATTTGAACCCTCAAATTAGTGATTAATCACTTCAAATAGGTATAATATGTATAGCAGTCACGTTCGATTCTCAGATTTGGTTTTGAGCTTATATATCAAAACTCTAGTGTTCAAAGTTGAGAGGATTAGGTGTGCTTGGGAAGCTGAAACCAAGAGAAGAAAAGAGCACTGGATTACAAAAGTTTAAGATAAACTTTCCACTTCAAATGCTAGAAATGTGATATCACATATAGCCACTACTTTGATTTATAATGTTAAGAAAGAGTAGAGATTCTTCAATGACAGTTTATCTAATACTATAATTTCATGAAGTTTGATGAAAGTGAAGTATGGAAAAATAAAGATCAGAAGAAATGGGTTTAAGATAAGTAGGTTTACTATATATCAAAATTATACATGTCAAGATTTCATCACATTTGATGATTCTCTCAGTTTGGTATACAGACTATCCAAATTTTCTTGCTTTTGAAAACTATCCAAGTTAACTTACGAATTTTTTGTTATAATATTTAGAAGCTAGGACCCTGCTATGGTGAAATTTATAGTCGAATTTTTGGGCAAGCTTGGTACTAAAATGAAGCGGTTCAAATTAGAAAATAGGTAGAGTTTCTGACTGTTTTTCCTCCACAAGGTTACAGCCAGAAAGTCAGAGTAACCTTAGGGTGTTCGACCAACCGTAATCTTACGGTCAAGGAAGAAGAGAATAGCCCTACAGTCACTGGCTAACTGTAGCATTATACCTTTCTTATAAAATCATAACTTTGGAACTTCTCAAGATGATCAATTTCTGAAGCTTCCTTCACACTGTTTTACCAAACTTAATCTGCTTAGAATTTCTAGCAGAATGATATAAACCAGTGTTAATTTAAAGTTAATTATATACTCTAAATGCCTATTAAGAACAATAGGTAGTAAGAAAGTCGGAAAGTGAAGTCCATTGTGTCTATGAAAAAATCTAGTTAGAGAGTTAACAAAGGTCAAGTGTAGTAAGCAAGCCAAGTGCGTTCATGTACTACTTTTAACGTTGATCTATGAAAGTCGTTTTATGGCCATTGTGATCATTATGCGAAGCTAATTTACATCAAATAGATTATGTTGTAGAGCTGAATTGCTACCCTTGCATTAAGCTATGAAAGCTGACTTTTAATGGTAGTGCATCCTCTCCAGAGATCACTTACTTGAAAAGTATGCACATTGCACAGCAGAGCAAATATTCGACTTTAAGTGAACGATAATAAAATTCTTTGTGACAGCATCAGAGTAAAGCAAAATTGCCATTATGTATGAACATAACACAGAAAAATGAAGATCTAATTCTTAGTGTACTTAAGCGTATCCCCACACCAGTAGCTAATTCATGCATTTATTTTCATGTATATGTTACGAAGTGCTAAAGTTACTACTTAAAACCTGGCAATTAGTATTCGCAAAAAAAAACATGAATCCTTATAACTAATATTAACCACTGACAGTTTATATACTATATACTCTTATAATAACTTTACATCACAGACTAATTCAATTATTCAAGTTTATATAAAAAAGTAGACCTAGTGCCTGGCCTCAACACCCGTTATTAACATGGTTTTCACGTTTCGACCGTTTCAGAAGAAAACAGAATGGCATTGATAACTAAATTTCTGCAGTAATCATTCAAATCATTGACACGTATCATAAAAGTTACGACCATCAAAATCCGATGAAAATAATTCCTCTATTTCGGTAGAAGAAAATAACATTTGGACTAAATTATCGTTGCACTTGCCTTGGTACCAAATGGCCCTTCAGGAAAATTGATATCCAGAATATCCCGTCCCTAATTACACAAAACAAATAACAATCGATATCATTCTCGATAAGTCAGACTAAAACTGAAAACTAAAATTAAAATATAGCTCTATAAAACTAAATCGTCACACGAAAACTAACCTGAAGCTCAGCTTCAAGCTCCTCACGTTCGTGACCAGTCGCAATAGGCATCACATCTTCGACTCTCTTAGAAACATTACCTACCATCCACAACCAACACACATCCAAGTCCATAAATCTCAAAACAATTCCACACACAAACGTTGGTAAAATCTCCGATATACATATAAAATTCAGATCTGATGTGAGAAAAAAAGTACCTGAATAGTGACGAGTGACAATAGTCGAGCATGGCCGAATAGTCACCGGCGACAGCGAAGAAGTAACAACACGATTAGGTCTGGCAACAGATCGGAGAGTTAGGAGTTTAGAAGAGGCTCGTCTCCACATGGTTTCACCTTCACCGGAACCCTAGGCTTTCGGCGTTTGATCTGAATCGGCGACGAAGGAACTTTTCCCTTTCAACACTGTGTAAGAGGAATTTTTTGGTCCAACGTGAAAATGAGATGTTATAAGAAATACGAGTGAAGCGAAGGCTTTTTACGAGCAGAGTGAGATGATCCAGTGTCCGTGGGTGCAGGGGAGCTAATAATGGTCGTGCATAAGAGTTGTACGTCGTGCCTCTTTTGTTGTACGTTCACATTTCCTTTTTGGTAATTTAAGATGCCACGTGGATGCCAAAGGGTAAATGTGGGAAAGTAACTTCCTGTGGTTTATTTCGAATTGCGACTACGTCCTTTTACTTTTTAAATTTTTGGTTTTTATCCCTCGATAACGTGGGAAAGGTTTTGGTTTTATTAAAAATTAGAAGTTAAACCAAAAAGGGTGGTATTAAGTGGTTTGAGTTTGGCTCCAAAGATAAAAAATATCAGGAGGTCTCAGATTCAAATCTAATGAGGAATAAAAATCCTCTTGTGGCCACGGAGGTTCAAATGCGATGACCTCCGAACTATATGCAAAATAGGTGGTCGTCATGGAATTAGTCGGCTCGCATAGCCGGTTGGATATCCAAGTTAATCAAAAAAAAATTAGAAGTTAAAATGGTTAATCAAAAAAAAATTTAGAAGTTAAAATTTTATCTTCAACGGTTTTGCTATTTTGAAAAGGACAAATATTGTTCAACTTTTTTTTTCAACAGGTCTAATATTGTAAATTCAAGCCATTTTTTTTTGGCTTGATAACTTGTCGTTGCCCGCCCTATAAAAGGGTTGGGCTTGCCCATGGGCTATGAGGTCTAAAAAGTGTAACTCTTATAAATCTATAACTTGATAGCTAACAAATGTGAAACCAAAAAGTAAAGAAAAAAACACCGTTGCAATTATAATTTTAAGCAACTAAAGTGACATATGGATCTCAACAAGTGGAGAAATAAATGAAAAAAAAATCAGACTTCATAAGATCAATAATGCATTCCTATTTTTTATGTATAACATTAATATTCACATTAAGAAGTAAACAAACAACCCCTTAGCCTTATGGGTTATCGAGAATAACCAAAGAGTCTCATCTTATAACTTTAACAATTTAATCTTATAATATACGGGTATAATTTTAATTAATGGTAAAAAATATGAATTATAAAATATAAACGGGCTGGACAGGCCTGTCCATATATATTTTTACATTGTTCATGTTCGTCTGTTATTTTAAACAAACAAACCCAAGCTCGTCCATTTTCTCGATAATGGTTGTTCAAGCCATGTATTTCTAACAAGCCAGATGAACCAGGTCTAACGAGTCATCCCGTCCATGAACAACTTTAATCGTCGAAACCATCAATTTGGACTCATCAATCGTTGGTCATTTCTCATTTTTCGGCCCATTGGATCCATATACATTTTTAAGCCCATGATATACCCCATACAACTTGAAAAGGATCTATTCATTTTGAGTAAACCATAAATAAAAACCATTATCATTTAAGGGCTAGTTTGCTAAACATTTATGGAGTGTCACTCTTGTACATCTTATTGTATAATATTTTCGGTCATCAAAATGGATTGTTTTAAACCCGATAAACGTCTATCGTGTAAGAGTCTTTTTCCTCACTTACTGGATAAAAGTCTCGGTCCTTGTTATATCTCTTACCAGGTAAGATCCTCAGTCATACTCATTCCTATGTTTAATTGGTAAGGTAAGTGATTCCGAGTAAACGTTTATTTCAGTAAGTGTTTAGTAAATGGCCTCAAACAAATTATACAATGTATAAAAATTATTACATAAATTAGAACTAAATATATTTTAACGTAAATAAATTTTAATTTATATTACTAGATACCATAAATATTGTTTATATTAAAACAAAAATAAGTTTTAGTGAAAATAAGTTTTGGTTATGAGTGTCTTTTAAAGATAAGAGTAATGGGTCGTTTACTAAACGCTTACCCGGTAAGTACTTACTGGGCAATTTTCCTTAACGGATGAACATGGCAAAGGCAAGAATCTTATCCGGTAAGAACGATGATAAAAATGGAGAGTCTTACCCGATAAGTGAGTCTTACTAGGTAAGCAATTACTGGGTAAGCATTTAGGTAAACGGGCCCTAAGTTACATTTTTGGTCCCTGTGTTTTATTTAAAAAATGTGATTTTCATCCTTATGGTTAAGAAATTACGATTTTTCTTCCTATGATTCGCAATTCATTACTATTTTTCATCTTTATAATTTATAATTTTTTCAGGGGCAAATTACATGAAATAGTAACGTATTTTAGTTTGATTCCTATTTTGAGTAAGATACTTACAAAACTTTTATTTTGGTACCTAAAATGTAAAATTTTAAACATTTAAGTACCCGGATAATCAGTTGAAGCATTAACCAGTTACCATGCTGATGTGTTATCCAACTCAATATTATTTACTATTCAACCCAATTTCATTCCACCACTCACCGCATCTGCATGGTAACCGATTACCCGGGTACTTACATGTTTAACACTTTACATCATAGATACCAAAATGAAAATTTTGAAAGTACGTTACCCAAAATAGGAATCAAGTTAAAATATGTTGTTTTTCCATGCAATTTGTTCTTTTTTCCGGTTCCTATGGCTTACAAATTTTTACTCTTTTGGTCCTTATACTTAACGAAAATAACAGTAAATTGTAAATTGTATACATAAAAAGTCACGATTTCTAAACGACATAAATTATTATCAAACCACAAGGACGAAACCCGTAATTTACTCTTTGTATAATTGAGAAAATAAACGCTGATTATACCATGAACTTTGTAATAAGTGCTTATACTTTAAACATGTTTTCTTCCCTTTCTAGTACACAACAGAAATAACATCACATTACTATAATAACATAACATGCTAAACAAACACCATAGACGATGATCCAGCCATCCCTATCCCACGGTTTCGAAGATTTCCGAAAACGATTTACGTTTTCAAGGATTTCCGTAAACAACTAAGCAAATCAAGCGTGTTTAGCGTATCGAACGCCAATCATTCTAACATCATCAATGATCGGACCACATAGGGAACCATCGGTCTTCATCTGATAAAATGTACTCAAAAACCTGATTCGTGTGCGTGTCGTTACAGCTCTAAACTTCAGAACGGCTTGTTTGAACCCACCCTTGCCTTTGGACTCGTAGGGTACCCTAAGAGTGTTTTTACTCGCAAATGCCTCGACAATCATCGACCCTTCACACGCGTTGTTGGCATCCCCGACAACAAAAGAGAGAGCGTATACCTTGCCTGGTGTCGTCTTGACGACTTGGGCAATAGCGCTCTCTTTTCCGGCAATTAATTCTACTGCTCTTTTACCCTTGGGCACGGCAAAGTGTTCCGCGTCTAAGTACTTGACGGCTTTTAGCGATTCGATCATCCAACCAGGGAGCGGTGAATGGTCGTCCTCGATGTTGGGAGGGATCAAAACTCCACCGACATCAGTTTTCGGTAACACGAACGGACCTTCTTCGAAATCTCCATTTTTCAACATATTAGCTGCAGTAAAAAGTGCAATCACAATTAGATTGCAACCCTTTTTTTGCATGTCATGAGGATGTGAGAAATAAAGTTATCTTCAAATTTATGGGCATGTAGAGCTTAATCTTGTCCAATTTAAACCGATCGATCTAATTAGAACCGACCGACTATAAATGTCCAAATTAATCAGATCGGATCGAATCCAAAATTTCAATATCAAAATTGGATTGGTCGGTTCTTAGATGACCAACCTTATCCAATCTGATGACCATCTAGTTCCCCGTTCAATAACTATCCAATTATCATTCAATTAATAACTATATATAATTATTAACATTTTACGATATATTTTTTTAGTTGATATTTACGTGCATTGTATTTAAATAACTTAAAGAAAATAAATGAATAATCGATTGAGAATTGGATGAATCCAATCTAATCTAATGGATAACCAATAGTAATATTCAATCGATGAAACTGATCCGGCCCAATCATCCATGGGATTGAACCGGATCTAATGTTCAATGTTAGTTGGATTGGGTCGGATTACAAAATCCAACATCCAATAAATGATTGGATCGGATCAAATCCACTGGATTTCAACCGATGATATTCAAATTATTCTCACTGAAACTCAACCATTTTGGTATTTAGGACCTAATTATGTGTGTTTAACCGAATGACTAAAATTACCATTTTCTTACCGTTGGTTCTTCTAGGAGGAAATAAGGCCTTTAGTGCAACAGAATCAACAAGAGGACCGCAAGCAGGGTCTTTCTCGACAGATGGGTTATGGATCACGATCTCGATGTTGTTGGACTCGGCCAAGAACCCCCACGAGTATGTGTCCCAACCGTTGCTACTATACATCGTCTGCATTGGCAAGATTCCCCAATCATTGGGCTCGGAATTGGGGGACACCGAAACGTTCAATTTCTCTTCTTGGGCGCAAGTTCTAGCCACATTAAATGTGATCGAATAAAACAACCCTTTTGTCACCTTCACTTTGGTCTTTATCGAAGCATCCTCTCCTAGCCTCACGGCATAAGCTCCCTCGGGTACTACTAGCAACATATCTCCTTGTTTTTGGCCGGATTTTATGTACTCAATGAACCCCGTGAGCTCCCAGTTCGGTATTGCCTTTGGATCGATTACTCTCGTGCCCTTCATCTGGGACGGTTTTGGACCGTATTCGAATTGACCATTTGGTAATATTCCTGATATTTAAGAAAAACATACATGTTAGCTCACTTACACATAATTTGTAGAATTCTACCTCAAATCTACACAGTAAATAGCGTAAAAACTAAGCGGTTGTCTTGCAGTTACTAAATGTTTGGTGTAGGATGATTAAGATAATGCAAAATAAAATATGGTTGTCTGGTAATTGTTTATAATGAAATTAAGGTGCTTAATGATTTAGGGAGATCCATAATACAAAATCATATGGAGTGTTTTAGAATAATTAAGAGACAAACTTTTTTTTGCCAAACAAGATTTATCTCTTGACAATTCAAAGATTACCTCTTAATAGAACTATTAAGAGTTAAACAAACAATCCATAAGATTTTAATAGACCACAACTGATGTATATTATCATACTTGTGAATTATTATACCTTTTTTCTAAAAGGTTGCAACTCATAATTAAAATAAATCATTTATTAATAATATATTATCATACACTTACAACTGTTTGGTTGATTTTCTATTAAGTCTTGTATGTGTAGATTAATATCTATATATTAAAAAGCTTTTGGTTTAAGAGGGTTTTTTCCATGATGAAATAAGCATGTACTTTTTAAACTATTACTATAATAATCATATATAACTCACCGAATAATATTAAGTCTTTATTAAGCTGGTGACGTGGCCTTAATAATTGATCAAATAACACATGATCACAAGTCAATTAACTTATCATGTCAAATAGGTATCAATCAAGCTGTTGGGTGTTGGTACACACAATTGCTATACTTTTAAGATCTTGGCCATGGTCTATAGTTAGCAATGGTACTTAAGGGGACCAATTGCTTTTTGGCACTAAATTTTCTGCAATAAGATTACATGAGAAGAAGTAAAGCAGTTTCCAGCATGTCATCACGTGGATTGTCTCAAGATCACGTGATGAAAGTACTGAATGTTTTTTGTCATTTTTCTGGAATTTTGTAGAGATGAAAACATGGGCATATCAGAGAACATGTTCACCAATACAAAGCACCCTTGGGGTGAAAGAGAAACATAACACAATTTACAAGGGAGAAGAAAAAGAAAAGATACCAAGATCTTTTCAAGGTATTAGTTTTTCGTATGCAAAAAAATAACAAGTTTTTTCATGCCATAAAGTAAATAGATGTGTTTTATAGTGTGATTTTATTGATGCTTTTAATTTTTAAGAATATATACAATTTATTATATTATTATTTAAAAGAGAGGTTTCAACATATATAAAGAAGAACCGGTTGAAATGTAGTCGATATGAGACTTTAACACGTCCTCTTCAACAAAGACTAGAATCAATAGATGAGGCTAGGAGACTAAGGGGTCGTTTACCAAACACTTACCCAGTAAACGCTTACCGGTAAAATTTAACATTTTCATTTACTTACCGGATAAGATTTTTGTCCACCAAAATTGTATTGTATGCAACAATTTACCCGGTAAGCTCTTACTGTGGTAAGAGTCGTCTCCCTCACTTACGAGGTAAAATTCTTGATTCTTACCATATTTATCCAATAAGATAACATAACTTGGTATTCACTTACCTGAGTAAGCGTTTGTAAACGGCACCTAACCGAATACAAGAGTGATAAATATGACTAGTACTACATCGCACAAATGCTAAATTCAAATAATAATACCATTTTTACATTAAATAAACCTCATATGCCAAACCAATCAATAGAACCTCGTTTAAGAGAATCATAGTCGTCTTCTCTAGAACTCGAATCATTTTGTGATTTTACTTAATGCAGGGATGGTCTGTGAGGGTCCGAATAAGGTCCCGTGCATTCGTACTCCTATTAATGAATTCTTTTGGGTATAAATGGTATATCCATAAACTTTTAAGGGGTACTCTACATTAAAAAAATACAAGAAACATCAATCAAAAAATCAAAAAAGTTTTTTGAAATAAACCAAAAACTTAAAAAAATTCCCCTAAAACAGTAAAATTAGACTAAAAACACATAATATAACTTTATGGACTTAGATCTACCTTAAAAATGCATGAAAAATTCTATATCCATATGGGAAATATTTGGAAAAAATATTCAAAAGTTTTGCTTTTAAATTCAATCTAGTTTTATAATATAAAACGAGTTTTCTTGACATGAAATAGTTACTATAAAATTTTATGGGAAGAAAGGAATCTTGATCTTATCCAACTGCGCACCATCACGAGGCCATGGGCTAGGCGTCCCACTTATACAAGAGGGACAGGTTTTGGCAAAATTTGGATGAGGGTAGATCTCTGACAAGGTGGCGGTAATAATACACAACCTTAAGAATGTGAGGTCCTGATTCTACCAATATTTTTATTCATTATTTAAAACAAATCTACTCCTTTCTTTCAAAAATTAGACTTCCAGTATAACTTGCTTCATAATTTATCAACACTACATGGGTTTTTGTCTTATTATAATATCTCCAATTTGAAAAACCTTAAATGGGTGGGTTTATTGCATCCAAGGATATGATTAATTAAATGGTCTGCAATAATCTATTAAAGTTTTAGTTTTTACAAATATATTTTAATTTTACTCCTCTCTCGATCATATCTTCATGGAATGAGTCCACATAAAATCAGTCTGTTTTTTACCATTTTTTTACATTTGAAATTATACAACAAAACGTTGTGAAAGTAAAAAAAAAACCGAACCTTTTACAGCAAAAACACTGTGAAAGTTACGTTTTACTTTGAAGTTGCAAGTGTAAAAAAATAATCTCACGAATCTTATAAAAACAGGCTGGTTTCCCTTAATCCTAGCTCCAATTTTATCGATTGTTAAATACAAAAAAACTTTTAAAAAGATCGATTGTATTGGAGAAGATTCCTAATAATAAGTTTTTTTGTTAAATAAAAATGTGATTTGAAAAAAGTAAAATTGTGTGCAAGCGCTTCTTACCAGGCAAGTAACGTCTCTCTCGCTTACTGAGTAAGAGTATACTCATTTGCTTACTGAGTAAGAACCACGGTTGTTACCATGTCCCTAACCGAGTAAGATTCTCAATCCATGTAATGTCCACCCAGTAAGGTAAATGATCCAATAAACGTTTGATAAACGATCAATTAGTTTCTTTTACAATAAAGAGGGAAAATCACGGAAGATTAATTCAAATATTTTTTTATTAAACACACCTCTTAACATCAAACTTAACATGTTTTACGAACATCAAATGATATTGAAGGCAAATATTGATGTGTCAACATTTATCGTTTGAGAAGAAGCATGATATTGAAAGCAGATAATATCTAATGTACGGCTGATTGTCTAGAAATTTGTGAAGATTTGAACATTGTTTCATATTTATTTCACATTTATAGCGTTATGTTGGACCACACCAACCTTGCAGCAGGACGGATATGATTAACTTTTATACATTTTCTTTCTAAATAAATCTTTTTAATATGCAAAAGTTACAGAAATTGGCTGTCTTTTGTTATGTATTTATCATACATTAGTAGTAGTAAACGAAATATAAATAATCATATATATTTTTTTATTAACTTTTGATATTCAACTCACGAGATCCGACTAATTTCAGGACGATCACTTGTTTTGTGGGTTTTAGCCGTTTTTGAACCTATGTGGCCACAAGGGGGTTTTTATTCCTCCTTGAATTTGAACCTGAGAGGCCGATTTTTGACTTTTGGAACCCAAACTCAAACCAATCAAACACAACCCTTATGGTTATATTTCATGTATTTGAGTAAGAATTATCTTTGCGAAATTTTGAATAGTTACGTAAAAATCTGAATATTTACACAATTTCTTTTTCTTTTTTTTTGAACCTGAAAATCACAAATGCATAAAGACATTTATATAAACTCTGACCGAAATAAGAATTCAATGGAAAAGTGGCTCAGAAGGTATTTTGGTCAATTTTCTTCCAACCTAATTAAGATGGTTTTATGATAAAATCAGAGTTTGAAGAGGGGGAAGGAGAAGGAGCCCGGAGAAGGAACCCGGAGAAGAAGCAATGACGGTATTATGGTCTATTTTTTTTCAACACTAACGCTTGTAATGAAAAAGACATATATGGTATAATCGTAAACATAGAATACGACCCGAACAGACATACTTGGACAGCGTGGTACAATGGAGATCAGATGTCTTAAATATGATAATCATTATGAAATTAATAACAAATTCTAAAATATTTACCATGTGTGCACGAAACATTAATTTTACATGTAATCATTTATGTAAGAATCGAATTATAGTTCGTAAAACTTATAATTTTAAAATGCTACTATTTGAAACATTTTGGATCATATCAGAATTATTAATACGAATGAATTCAAGTAGCATCAAAGGGACTCATTTTGAATCGCATTTGTGTGTGTATATATATATCATTCAGACGCGGAATTATACATACAGTAGTATCACGTATGTGAAGATCGCATAGCCTTAAATCTAACACTTACGAACGAATATAACGTTCCAGATCCAAATTTATGCATCACGAAAACGAGCTCCAAAAATCGAACCTCGTTACGACGTGAAACCAAAAAAAGTCGATATGTAATGTAACGAACCAATTAAGACGGAATGATTATCAAACAAAAACGCACAAAACAGTAAGATCAGTTCATGAATGATGATCAACGACAAAATTTGTAATTCAAATTTCCAGAAACTAACACTATAATTATCGAATGAATGCAGAATAAATTCTGGATCTGGAATCGAATAACTCACCGTCAGTGAAAGACAGAACTCCATTGGAGGTTGCGCAAAGAAGCACCACCAGTAAGATTGCAGAGAGCTTCTGCATTTTCTGATAGAGAGAGAGAGAGAGAGAGGGGGGATGAATGTTTTCTAGTTTAGTGTGAATATGGATGGAGTGTGCAGTGCTTTATATGTAGTTCAGTCGATGGAAAAAGCCTCTGAGTTTGGGGTTAATTACATGAATCGCCATTGAAGCTTTATCTTTCTGTCTTTCTTCCTTGAATTAGACTGAGTAAAGACGTCAAATAAACCCCACGTCTCCCTTATCTTTTACTCGCTGCTGCACCAATTTTCATCCTATTTTTATTCGTATTTATTTCATGTACTGTTTTCCCTTCCTCCAAAAGTACCAAAAATTATTGATTCTTTGTCGTTATTAAATAAATAAATTATACGAAATAACATACTTTAACTTCATTCTTATTTTGGATAACATATTTTTAAAACCTTCATTTTGGTACTTAAACTGTAAAAGTTTTAAATATCTAAGTATTCGGGTAATCGATGAAACATTAACCGGTTACCATACTGATATAACGAATAATGTGATATTCAACTCAATATTATTTAAGTATGTGTACATTATTTAATTGAAACTCATAGGTAGGGCTATTAGATTTTAGATCCCAGATAAACCTCCCGTGGTGCTCAATACGATGCTTGACTCCATGTGATGCCTTTTAAGTTTCTTCAAATTCCTTTTTGTTTCCAAATTCCAAGGCATTTTCTAAATTAATGTTATATTTAATATATTTAAATAAAAAAGCTGATTATCGACAACTTTCACTATTTAGCTGTTGAGACTAACAGGAGGGTTCGGAATCAAAGTACCAAAGTTGCACTCAGCCGGGTGACTAAGAAATGAGTAGAATTTCGTGTGTAGGGGCGAAATCCGTAAATATACCAAGGAAAACCAAAAGCCCATGCTTTCGCACCCCAACTTCAGTAGTAGAAATGTTCGGGATCAATGGTTGGACCATGCAAACTAAAAATAAAAAAGGAGCAATAGCTTCTCTCTTGTTGGGACCTGTGTTGTATTTGATCAAGTCATCTCGTCCCTTTGTCAACTGAGTTATAAGTCAAAAGCATTATATTTGTACTAGAAGGGTACTCGTGCAATGCAGCGAGATATATCTCGATTTTAATATTTTATTTTATTATTTCTCTCTGTCGGATTTATAATACGATTTTATGTGTGTTTAAGAAAACAATAATGATTTTATTTTTGAATAAAATATAATTTTGAAGATATCATAAAAATTTGAAAAAAATTATATCAATGTTAATATCAAATCAACTATCTAAAAGTTCTCATTTTTATGTAATTTCTTTATTTATTATAATTTAATTTAAGTTTAATAACGAAATAGTTTATTTTTTGGTTTAATTATATAACATTTTATAAATATAATAATTAATTATTCTGTTATAACCCAATGATTATCCTAATTATATTTAAATTTTTTATATTTAAAATGAGATTTTTATCTTGTATTTGATTATGTTTATCTACAGTTAGTTACACGAATTAAGATTTAGAGCTTTAATAAGTTGTACTTACGCACAATCTACTTGTAATCTTGAGTTTTAAGTAAGATGCATTAATAAACAGTATTTTATGCATAAAAAATAGTTTCTAAGAGTTTTTGTCAAATACTTTATAATATAGTATAGATATGTTAAAAAAATATCAAAAATAATACGTGAATACAAATTTCATTTTTTTATTTATTTATATTGAATTGTAAAAAAAAAAATCTCATAAGTTGGGACCTTAAGCAGGGTCGAAACTATTAGGAGATAAGCGTGTATCTGTTCACTCGATTACTGTAAGAGAAAAAAGTAGTTGTCTGAAAGGTGAGCCGGCTTGATTTTGAGAGGTGTTCTTAAATATTTTGAAACCAAATCTATAACAAAATTTAAAATATGAGCGAGATAGTTGGATTACCGCTTTATATAGAAAAGGTAACGGGTTTGAATTTTTCAGGTAAAAGTTTATTTTCTCATCTTTTAATTTTAGACTCCCCTAAGTCAAACCCTGTTAACGTTCTCACCAAATCAAACTGCAATTCTACAGATCTTTGATTCACCTTAAATGTGCACCTGCTCTTTCGTAAATTTAAAAGCAGTCTAACTCTTTTGCCCACACTTCTGTGTCGGCAAAACGTATTTTGCTCAATAATTATGTGTTCTGTAATTCTACATAACCTTTAACGTTGTATATATTATTTTATATATTTTTGTTTCTATGATTTGTTTGGACCAAAAATTTATGGTATATTTTAAGATATCTTGAAACATATACACTCTTTAATTTGTATAAGTTATTTTTATTATGTTATATATAATAAGATGTTAATAAACCAGGTAAAATATTAGTATATTTTAAGGACAAATTATATAAAAAAGTAACGTATTTCAACTTAATTTTTATTTTTGGGTAACGTACTTTTAAAACTTTCATTTTAGTACCTAAGATGTAAAATTTTAAACATTTAAGTATCCGGGTGAATGATTAACTCTTTCTTCTAATAAACCACAGTACATAAAAACTAATTTTAGATTAAGATATCCATGTCAGCAAATGATACTGAATTGGATACCACATCATTCGCCACATCAACATGATAACCAGTTACCTGGATGCTTAAACATACTTTATATCTTAAATACTAAAATAAAAGTTTTAAAAATACGTTATCCAAAATAAAAATCAAATTAAAGTACATTACTTTTCATTTTCTTGTATCTGGAGAGGCTCTTGGAAAGCAAACCCCATCCCTGCAGATCCAACATCAAACCTTGGAAACCAAGGTGCAGATGAGAAATTCCAAAACCTAAACTTGTCATATTTCATGAGGTGGGCCCTCTTCCCATATCTCATTTGTAACCATATCTATTTCAAAAGGATTTTTAGTTTAAATATAACAAACCCTAAATAAAATTTATAATAAATGTAAAATGTCGTAACAGATATTTATAATAAAAATATATGATTGTTTGGGATTAATTATGTATACTATGTTATAAAGTATTTGATAAAAACTTTTAAAAAATCATTTTTTATGTATGAAGTACTGTTTATTGATGTATATTATTTAAAATTCAAGACTACAAGTAAATTATGTGTAAATGCAACTTATTAAAGCTTTATGTTTGAATTCGTGTAACTAAATGCAGATAAACATAATCAAATAGAGGATAAATATCTCATTTTTAAATATAAAAAAATCTAAAATATAATTAAGATAATTACTGACTTCTAACAAAATACTTAATTATTATCGTTATTAAAAATTATATTATTAAACCAAAAATAAAAAAATTAAAGAAATACATAAAAAAGAGAAATTTTAAATAGTTAGTTTTCTACTAATATCAATATTCTTTTCAATTTTTTATGATATATTTATATTTGTATTTTATTCAAAAATAATAACATTATCGTTTTCTCAAAACCACATAAAATCGTATTGTAACATCGACTGAGACAAAAAAGAAATAAAACAAAATATTAAAATAGAGATGTATCTCGCTGCATTATGCGAGTATCTTTCTAGTTCATTATAAATAAGACATGAAATATTGGTTCCATGGTTTTCAAGATAACAGTTCTCATTTGAATCTGCTTCTATATTTATATACATATATATATAGAGAGAGAGTCAAGTTCATATGAGAACAAACCAAATAATAGAACAAGAAAACAGTCGAATCACATGTGAATTTACATTAAGGGGGTGTTTGGGATTGCTTATTTGAAACAACTTATATTTTTCTATAAAAGTGCTTATCAACTTATTATAAGTTAGAATGGTTTAACTTCTTCAAAAACTTCTTATTACCGGTATAAGTTATTTATCCAAACACTCAAAAGTGCTTATTACCGGTGTCACACCGAAATAAGTCAATAAGTTGTTTTTATGAACAATCCCAAACACCCCCTAAATCACATGTGATACACGCGACTAGGTCGTAGACCACATTGTCCACACACCTTTTGCGTTGATTGTTAGTGTAAAATCACATAAAATTTTGCAAATGATTTGACCGTTTTCGTATTCTTTTATTTGGTTGCATTTCTTGTTTGAATCTCCCTTTATTTGTTATATATATATATACACACACACATACACACACGCGTGTTGTTAAGGGGATGGTTTGACGGTTGGACCCTTGTATGTACCTAACGTTTAATATGGTGCATGTCTTGTTTCAATCTTCTCAAGGGAATTATTGACTTATCTAAGGACATGTTTATCAGATGAAAAACCTACAATTTGTTTATTTGTATGAAAAGACGTCATATACAAATGTTATCGTGACATGATCGAAATTTAAATATATAATAGATCATCGGATGGCCTGTCTTGTTTTAGGAAAATAAACCCATCTTTCATTACTAAAAAAGCCCTTTGCAACATGCTCATACGTGCACTTGTCGACCCAAATAACCAACCCTATTTTTGTCTTTTTTACTATTCCGTTTTTCAGGCCAAAGCAAGGAATAATGGGCATTTGGGTTTCAGTTTCGGTTTGGGTTTGGGTTTGGGTTCGTATTCCTTTGCCACTACTTAGGGACGCTGACACACTGTCTACACGAGTTGAATTGAAATGACGGAAATGCACATTCCCTTATTACGACCAAAGCAAGGAATAACGACACATACACATTTCTACATACACGAGTCGAAATGACGAAAACGCCCATACCCCTGTTATAGCCAAAGCAAGGAATAATGACATCTGGGTTCGCGTTCGGGTATAGACGTTTTTACGTATATGGGTCCAAATGACGAAAATACCCTTAGAAGAGGAGGCACATGGGCATTGAAATGAATGTTGGGTAGATGAAGCACACATAAGATGTATATCTGGTGGGGGTAGCCATCTCACATCAATAAATAAATATGGAGATCATGTTGTCATGAATGGATGGAAGGTGGAGGTTGTCTATGGACATCCATCAAAGATTGAAAGAATAATTCATTTCCTTACCATTTTAAATAACTCCCCCAAGATCTGAAATCTGACCAACCTCCATGTGATCCTATGTTTTTTAATATTATATAGTCATAGAATACAAACACTTTATGC